AAGAACATCGAGGAAAAAAATAAAGAAAATTGAAGAGATAATATATACCTTCAGTGTTTCATGGAGAAACGCAGAAAATCGTTCATGAGTAATATGTTATAGAGCCAATTCATTTTATCATTTATACTAATTCGTTTAATGTTATGTTTAGATTATTTCCAAAATTCTTTAATGTATTCTAAAATTAGTAGAAAAATGTTGATAATTCATTGGGTAATCTTAATGTATTCATGAACTCAATATGCTAATTTCTCAACCGAACTCTCAACAGTTGGTCAATCCCTAATACTGCATTAATAACATTAGACTTCTTTTTTCTCCTTGGAGAGAGATAAACATTTGCATATGATAAACATAGCCGCGAGCTAATTAATATTCATCGATTAAAAATTAAATGTCTAACTTAGAAGTATGTATTTTTTAAATTAAAGACTAAAAATTATTGGTTGAATTTCGATTTCTTAGTTGAGAAATAAACAATCACTTAATTACGATTCATAACCATATATTAAGAGACCACAAAGATATTCTTGAAAATGAATTGTAAAAACCTAAATGAATTAAAATAGGTTAAGTACAACTAGGAATTACTTAATTGGTAAGATAAAATGTTATACGCACCCGGCCAACGGGTCGGGAACAAAGCTAGTCATCTTTCAAATTTTTCTTGATGTTGATTGTAATTCCTTCATTCCTTTCTTGAGAGTTCAGATTGTTTGGACAGGTACTAGCATCTTTCTATACTTTCGTAGAAGTAGATGTTATAGTAGAATCTCGATTCCGAAAAAGCAGGTCTCGTAACAAATTAATATGGAACGTAGAGGTGACAATCGGGCGGGTCTGGGTTGTGTTCAATCGAGTTATGAATTAGTCGGGTTTTAGGTTCATTGGATTGTGGGTTTGTCGGGTTTGGTTTAGTCGGGTTGTGGGTCAGTCGGGCTACGGGTCAATCAGATTCCGAGTTAGTCGGTTTACGGGTCAATTGGGTTGCTGGTCGGGCGGGTTGCGGGCCGTTCGGGTTGCGAGTTTTTGGATCAGCACATTTAGTTACTTACTTCCTACTCGTAACTGCAATTTGCACATTTTATTACCTATTTAAAAGAAATCATAATTTTTAGACTATTTCTTTCCACATCGTATATGTAATATGCTATATGTACTTATTGAAGTTAAAAAAAATTGAATCATGTTGTGTGACTCGCAAACTTGTCATGTAATTAATCGTAAATCGGTAAAGCACACTAGCTAATAGTTATGGTGATGTAAACTTTTTTATTTTTTCATCCAATAGTCCTAATCCAACCACAATATTATATAAGTGTATCATAAAAATATATAAGTAAAATTATGGGATGGAGGAAATCTAAATTTGAGGGAGGAGGAAATGTGGAAATTTTTAGAGGGAAATCTAAATTGGGGAGGGGAAAGTGGGGAGAAATCTTAACTTGTGGGGGAAAGTGGTGTAGTGAACTTTAATTATACATTTGGGATTTTCAAAATTTATGTTTTTATTTATCTTAATGTTAGTGAACTTGTCGGGGAGAAATCTAAATTGCTACTATAGTTAATTTAAAGTGAAAATCATATTTTGATTTTCATAACATATATTAAAAATTGATATTTGGTATACCCTAACCATATACCTTATACCCTAATACTCTAACCATATATTATTATGAGTTACAATTTTGCTCCTATAGTTAATTTAAGGGCTAATACCACTACAACATCCGAACTATGACAAAAATGTCACTTGTGTCCTGAGTCATGACCCAATCCGCCACCACCAAACTCCTCCCACTTCGCCGCCACTCCAATCCGTCCCGACGACCAAATCCGCCACCACCACACTCCTCCCACTCCGCCACCACTAGACTCCTACAACTATGTCGCCACTCCAATCCGACCTGGCGATCCAATCACCCACAAAGCTATCATACGACGGTATAGGGGAGGGGCGTTACTGCCGATTTCCACAGGCGCAGATCTATGGACGGTGCAGAGAGTGGTGGGAGCTTGCTTGGCTTCTTCCCCTTCACCATCAATTCACGCATACACCCCTGGCTCTTCCCCTTTGCCATCGATTCACGAACACCAAAGATTGATTTCTGGGTTTGTATTGTTTGTCAATTGTAAAGGACCAGCTCCATTCATCATCGATGAATCATCTCCATCGCCCTTTGTTCTTCTTTACTGGTTCATCTCTGTTTCTCTAAAAAATCCCCCAAGTCAGAAACCCCCCCAAAAAGGTCGACGACGATGTCGTGAGACTCTCCTCTATCTCCAATCCATCCCAATCTGAGCACTGTGTCGATTGGGTTCCCGTTTACGCTCGATGGAGGCAGGGGTTTTGGATCTCATGAAAGGAGGAGGAGTAGTAGCTGAGGGCCTATGCAGTTTTTATCATCGTAGCTCGACATCGCCACCATCACATCAGGAGTTCAGGACCCTCTTGAGTTTGGATGGGGAAGCTAGGGATTGGATTTGCGATGAATGATGAATGGTTTGGGCGTAGAAGAAGGAAAGAAATCTTATTTTAGTTTTTTAATTTTTATAATATCCATTAAAATAAATTATTTTTTAATTTTGGCTTATTAATATAATTGAATTTACAGATTTTTAAATTTTAATTCAATTCTAATTTAATTTGAATTAAAAAATATAAGGTGTCAATGACGTAGCAGCCACATTTTTGCCACGTCAACAAAAGTCAACTTTGATTTGACCACCATTTGGTCAACCGTTATCTCTATCGGTCAACAAAATCGTCAGGATACAAATAGTACAAAGTATCATAGTTCATAACATAAATGGAATATTGAAAAGAATAGGGCACAAGTGGCATTTTTGTCATAGTTCGGGTGTTATAGTGGTATTAGCCTTTAATTTAAAGTGAAATTCAGACTTTGATTTTCAAAACATAGATTAAAAAGGGATATTAGATATACCCTAAACCATATACCTTATACCCTAATCATATAGTCTTACGAGTTATGATTTGCTACTATAGTTCATTGAAAGTGAAATTCAGACTTTGATTTTCAGAACATGGATCTTTGTTATACCCTAAACCATATACCTTATACCCTAATCATATATTCTTATGAGTCATGATTTAATTTTGCCACTATAGTTAATTTAAAGTGAAAATCATATTTTGATTTTCAGAACATAGATTAAAAATGATATTCGATATACCGTAACTATATATCATATACCCTAAACCATAGTACATAATACCCTAACCATATATCATTATGAGTTACAATTTTGTTGTTATAGTTAATTTAAAGTGAAATTCAAACTTTGATTTTCGAAACATAGATTGAAAGGGGGTATTTGTTATAGCCTAAACCATATACCTTATATCTATCCACTTACCTTATACCCTAACCACATAGTCTTACAAGTTATGATTTGCTACTATAGTTCATTTAAAGTGAAATCCGGATTTTGATTTTCAACACATAAATTAAAAAGGATTCTTTGCTATATCCTAAACCATATACCATATATCATAACCATATATTATTACGATTTATGATTTGTGCTACTATATTTAATTATAAGTGAAATTCAGGCTTTTATTTTTAAAACATAGAGGGATCTTTGTTATACTCTAAACATGGTTTTGTCTAAGTTTAGACCGAAAAACTTGATTAAGCATATGATCTATAAGTAATTAAGTATATGATTTATAATGTAAAATAACATGCATTTGAGATAATTTGAGTGATAATATATTGAAGATAAGATAAATTATTATAGATTTTTAATTCTAATATAATCAAATAGTCATTTCATATAAGAGCATAATATAGTTAATTATTCATGCCCTTCATGTAAAACTTAAAGATTCATATTTTAAAGACTAAAATTTTGAAAAACCAGAAAGTTGAAAACACTAAATTTGTTTTCTTCTTACTTTTCATAAAAAAGAAAGAAAATACAAAAATTTCCCTCTTTCTCCTTTCATAAATTAGAAACAATCAATTTTCCCTTCGTTTTCTTTTTCATTTAATTGGGAAAACTAAATTTCTCTCTTCCTTTTTCAAAATGTTGAAAACACAAAATTTCCCTCTCTATTTCTCTTTTTATAATTAAAAGAACCAAACTTTTCTATTTTTTTTCTCTTCTCACAAATCAAAATCACTAAACTTCTCCCTTGTTTCTTTTCTAAAAAATACAAAGTACCAAATTTCCCTCTTCTTTCTCCTCCCCAAAAAGTTGAAAACACCTAAATTTCTCTTTAATTTTAAAATTAACAAATTACCAAATAAATTATTTTACTATATTTATAATTAATTGATAACTTTGTTGAATAGTTAAATTAGCCAAAATTTTAATTTATATATATCTATATTAATATTTGTATTAATATTTTCCATGATATCAATTATTATTTTCAATATCAATATTGACATTGTGTTGATTTTATATTTCGTATTTACTTTTTTTAAACAACTTAATGTTCAACCGACATTCATGTTTCAATTTTTGTAATTCTATTAAAGTACATAATATCAAGTGAGTTTAATGTTTTAAAATTTCTTATACGAATTGAAAAAAATAATTAATTTAACTTTAGAATGAAAATTTTCATTTTGAAAAACTATGTATTATATAATATAATAATTATTCAAGTGGATTGGGTGGAGTTTAGATTAGTCGGTCGGGTCAGGTTAGTCAGGTCCGGGTCAATCAAGTTCGGGTTAATCGGGTTGCAGGTTTAATCGGGTTTCGGGTCAATCGGATTTGGGTTAATTGAGTTGCGGGTCAGTTGACTTTTTGTCAATTCGAGTAAGGGGCGGATTGCAGATCGGGTTAATTGGACGGATTAGTCGGATCGGGTTATGTTTTGACACCTATAATGTAACGAGTGAAAGAAACTGGACGCGAAAACTGATAGATTGCGAATTAATAATTTAAAAATGCGACAATTTCAAATTAAATGTGAAATGAGTTCACCAGCCAGCCAGCCAGCCACCATCATTCGCCCTTCAATACTTGAGATTCGCAAGCTTGAATCCCCATTCGTAATCTTCACAGTTCATAATTACAGGAGCAGGGCCGCCTCCTGCCGCGTCGCCATGATTTGCACTATTGGTATCATAATAAGGATGGAAATGAAAACACGGCTCCGGCGAAACCGCCCGCACGCAAGCTGGCTCGTTCCGCTTCGCCTCGTAGTCGCCAGGATTCTGCAAATACCAGGGCCTCAACCCTGCCAGACTATGCGCCACGTACCCAAACGTCGAGAAATGGCTCGTCACCAGCACGTCGCACATGCTCAGCAGATATATATCCACAAGCGCCTTCACATTGTGGGCGCCGTTGCCAGTCTCTTGCCATCCTTCGTGGCTCGTTTGATAAACCCCGACCGCCACTCCTCCTCCTCCTCCCTCCCCGTCGTCAGCCGCCGGCCTCATCCAGTACATGTCCTTCAGTTCCGTGTAGAACTCCTCCAGGAGCGATGCCACAAGAACCGCTTTCAGAGTCCTGCTTCTAGTAGCGGAGGAAGTAGCATTGGTTTCGTTTTGCTGTAATCGCGGCAGGATTCCCGACACCACCTGCACGCATCTCAGGATGTGCGGCAGCATGAGGGAAGCAGGGGTTTTGTCAGGGTAGAATACCCTGACCTGGAGCCCGATCCTCTGCTCTGCCTTCGCCAGGTAAGTGTCGTAGAATCTGGCGACGCGACCCCAGACACGATTCGTCGGGCTAAACAGGTATCTCCCCACGTGCTGGAAAACCGCCTCCTTGTCGGGAAACAGTCGGTCCAGTTCCGCCCTGAAGCCGGGCATCACGAAGAAGTAAGGGACGAAGTGCTGGTCCGATCTCAGGACCAGCCAGGGGACGTTCGTCAGGAGCTTCTGAGTGTCGTCTCTGTAGAAAAGCATGTCGTAATTGTTGTCTCCGGAGAGGTAAAGGTAGAGGAGCGCGGTGGCTTGTACAGCAATTTCCTCGTCATGCTTCTTCTCGCTCTTCTCCAACAGCTTCCCCAGGCTGTAAACTCCCCTGAATTTTTCACCGTTGGACCGGCCCTTGAAAGTGAAGTCGCCTGGGAGGAGCCAGGTCGCGTGGTCAGGGAACGGCTCGCAGAAGAGACCGGACATGGAATCGTCGAAATCGACGAGGAGGACTCGATCGGTGAGGAGAGCGTAGACGAAAGACGAGGCCAGGCTCAGCATTCTGTTCCCCAGTCCGTTGACCGGCACCCACACGATGTATCTGCAATCGGGCGCTAGGTCTTCGCTTCTTGTCAGCAGGGCGTCAGGGGAATTGTTCACCCTGACGAGTTCCTGAGAGTTTCGTAGGAAGGATTCGGAGTGGGGATCGCAGCGCTTGTGACGCTGCTCGTAGTCTCGGATCCTGGAAAGGAGGTAGGGAGATGCAGGGGATTTGTTGCTTGAGTTTGAGGGTGAGGAGCTCCTCCATTGCGGTAGTTGTTGTCTGCTGGCGCAGGATGGTTGATCCGAAGAAGAAGAAGAAGAAGAAGAAGAAGAAGAAGAAGAAGAAGAAGATACGAGTGAGGGTCGGAGAGGGACGATCCTGTCTCGTGCCGAGGGAGTTGGAACTCGGTGCTGCGTGAATCGGGGGTCGACGATGACGAGTAGCAGAGAAGTGACGATCATGGCGGCTACTACTGCTGTTGGACCGTGGCGGGCGTATCTGGAAGTTTCCATATCAAATTTAATTTGTGTTGTTATTTAAGAAGTGCCTTAGCGCTCTCCCACAGCCTCACTGGAGCATGCTCATATACACAGCTAGAGGGCAATGAGAAAGAGAGAGAGAGACGCAATGATAGAATGCAGCTATCTTTGGTTTACTTCTCCTGAAAGAAGAATGATAGAAACTGAGAGCTAGGTAGCAGGTTGTGCATAGTTTTAAGGTGGTAAGTTTTAACCAACCCAATTCAATATGATAGTGAAGCACAATACTGGCTAGAGGGTGGATGAGATATCAAGAAGACAGGAAAGTTTTGAAGGTACGCATTGCTACTAGTGGCGGTTTGGTTTTCTGAAAGAGCATTTCTATCTGATATAAGTTATATCACAACATTAAATGTATAAGTTTAGATTTAAAGTTGTATCATAACATTAAATGTATAAGTTCAGGTTGTACCACTATGTTATGGTTATAGCTTCACAACTTTAAATTGTACTATTAAATAAACTAATAAGGAAAGCCCGCGCTCCGCGACGCGCGGTCGTTTGTGATATATGTCGCATTATATAACAGTAGGTCATAAAAGAAAAGGAGTATGTAAACTAATGAAGCAAACAACCATTGCTGCATAATAATGTTCTGCCTATCTTTTTCATTGTTACTTCAACTATAGTTTATGCTAAAGCTTACAACTTTGAACCTTCATTTATCAATAATATAAAATGAATGGGCAAACTTCTAATAATGCCATGAGACATCATAAAGTGGAAACATTTTGTCATGTACAAATCTCAGTACGGTTCCATATGCATAAATACGGATTTTTTCAAGAAATAACATTGTTTTAATTTTTTTTCCAAAAATAGCATCCAATCACAAAAAATTCCAAAAATAGCACCCTTTTCTAAAAACCGCCACCCGAGGGCTCAGTTTTCGATAAAAACTGCACGAGTAGGGGACGATTTTGCTGACCGCGTGGGGCTGGGGCGGTTTGGTTGCAAACCGCAATACCCCACCCGGCAGTTTTTATTATATACTTTTTTTCCGAATATATATCATTAGTGGTCTTGGCACAATTGGTTTAGCTGTTTATTGTGTGCAAGAAATCCTAGGTTCCCATATTAAGTCCTTTTATTTAATAGAGATTAAAAAAAACAGCATGTTGTGGGGATAGTGGTTCGAACCCATATATAATAAATAATTAACTAAATTTAGCACAACATCTACACTACCAAATTACAACTCTTCTTTTTAAACAATAATATATTGACAAAGTTTTATTCCTCGAACACTAAAAATTCTCAATAACTTTAAACAACCATAACTTTGTGGGGAAAAAATCCCAAAATACACTAGTAATTAAAAAAAATTCCTAAAATACATAAGTTATAAAAAATTCTCAATCTATACATGTTTCACATTCACCGCCTTTGTCTAAGGCAGTGAATGTAATCACCGCATTAGAGAAAGGCGGTGAATAATTCACCGCATGGGTCAAAAACGATGAACAATTTACCGTCTTCATTTACAGCGGTGAAACGGTCACCGCGTTTGATCTAAACGGTGGAGACATCACCGTGTTTGTTGACAATGGTGAATAAATCACCGTTATTGGGGAAAGCAGGGAACAATTTCACCCCCTAGGTTAATCCGATGATTGTTTCCCACGTTTCCCCTGGTAGGTGAAAATTAGGTCACAACCACCTAATGTTCACCGCCCTAGGGCAACGCAGTGATAGCGTTCACCGTTTTGGACAAACGCGTTGAATGCTGGCCGATTTTTTTATAAATACCACTCCCACCAGCAATTGTAAAAACGCAACCCCTCTCCCTCTTCAAATTTCAGCAACCAAAACCGAGCAACATACACAGAACAAGAATTTTCTGTATGATTTAATTTTTGTATTGTAGCCTAATGATGTTTTTAGTAGTTATATTGTTATGTAATGAATTACTTATCATAGCAAATATGTTCTGTTAGTTGGGGAATTTATGGTGTTGTTAGTTAGTTGAATTTATGTTATGTTAGTTATGAGATGGAGTAATATTAGTCGTACAATATGGTTTTGGTTAATTTTACATGGAATTAAGCTAATAGTTACTTATTGTAAATTGTAGATATGAGTAAATTTAAGAAGTTTCAGCTTATTATTCGGTGGAATGGAAGGGTGACAAACTCTGACATAGGGATTGATTATGAGGATGGTGAATCCACTATGTTGAAAATTGAGTCGCGATTTAATTTTCAAGAACTCTGTGATATTTGTGCAGATAGGGTTTGTACGAGCGAACGGACCAGACTTGATAAAATTAGTTATCGGTATCCAGACATGAGTGTTGGCGGGGTTGTGTACCAAGAAGTTTTCATAAACGATGATGACGCGGTTATGATGATGTTACAATTCCTAAGCGATAACGGGATGCGGCTTGCAGAGCTGTATGTTGAGACCGAGGTGGTCGGTGAAACTCATTCTCACCATTATTCTTATGATGATGGTTTTGCAGGAGGGTACGGATGGGGTGGTAGTTCGAGAAACTACGAAGATGGAACGTATGGGTTTCGGGGCGCCATCGCTCCGCCATTGTCGTAATAAGATCGTTGTCGATTTCATCCGCATGAAATGCCTCAACATACCCAACCCAGTCCTCTCTATATACGGCGCCAACCAATCATGCCAAGCAGGCAAGTTTGTGGTCCCTTTATGAATGACGAGAATAAGTGATTCCTAAAAAAAAAGGAAAAACATCAATTTGTTAGTTAAAAGAAAGCAAAATAAAACCTTATAAAATAAAAAATAAATCATCAATTTACCGGATTGTTGTCGCAAATTGCACGGGAGCTATGTGCTTCTTGATCGATTAAATACCTCGTATCTCTTGGCCCATAATGGATATACAATCGAGGATCGTATATCTCGGCACCCATCTATAAAAAAAAGTAATGAAATCTGATGATTGTTATTAAAAAATATAACAAAATCAAATTGTTTCGATTAAAAAAAAATCACAAAAGAAAAACCAAGAACCTACCCGGACAGAGGTTCGACGGGTTTATAAGGGACGGGGGCTTTAGGGTATAACTCTAGTAATTCTTTATGATGTGGAAGATCGGATTTAGCCGCAACCACAGAGCATACTTAGAACGAGACTAGAGTGGATGGATGGAGGGAGAAAGAAGTGTAAATGTGGTGGTGTGATTTGGAAGACGGGGGGGGGGGGGGGGGGGGGAGGTTGTGGCGGAAAACATCCACTGAGCCATCACCGCCTTTGACAAAGGAAGTGAATAAACCTCCTTTATGGAAGATGGTGAATGCGCGGTATCGATGACGTGGAACGCTGTGAGGCGTGGGATCTGGAAAGAAAACCAAAATCCACGCTTCACCGTATCCAATGGCAACGGCGAGCTATCCGCGACGTGGATCGTTGACGTGGACAAACACGGTGGTGTATTCACCGTGTTAGACAAACACGGTGAATGCATCGCGTTTGTCCACGTCAGCGATCCGTGTCGCTTTCATCGTGGTCTTCATATGCGGGGAATACTTCACCGCGTTTTACTAAAACGGTGAACACTTCACCGTTTTAGTGTAAGGCGGTGAATGGTTCCCTCGTTATTCACCGTTTTGCAAGGCCGCGGTGAATACGTCATCGTTTTAAATGAAAGCGGTGAATTATTCACCGTTTTTGTCTAATGCGGTGATTATATTGACTGCCTTAGACAAAAACGGTGAATGTGAAACATGTGTATTTTGGTAATTTTTTTTATAATTTATGTATTTTGAGAAACTTTGTGCTCCAAAATTCGAACGCCATGATTTTTTTTTCACTTTGCATACCATTTCGAACTTCTATGCTTATTTTTAATTACTCTATTTTTCTAACGCACAAATATAAGATATATGGTAACCTCCCCTGTCATGGTGGGTCTCGGAACCCACGCTTTACAAATTGGCTCCGCCCCTAGGCACATGGGCACTATTCTTTGGAATCATTACTTGATTAACAACAATGTTTTAGGGGTCGTTTGGAAGTTGCGATTGTTTGTTGAGATTGTTATTATTCATGTATTGTTTACAATGCATCGATTTTTTGTTTTTTTAGCAGAAACAATACATGGATTGTTTCTGTGATGTGACAGAAACTATCACTCATTTTGAGTAATTGTTATATCTCAACTTTTAGTTGTGATTGTTGAGATAGTTGAGTTGAGATTATTTTGTCTCACCTTTTAGCTTATGCGACATACACAATCACACATACCAAACGTTGTATTCTACAATGCATCAAATTCGACAATACATGTATAATATTATACATGCATTTTCAACAATACATCTATTTAACAATCGCAACTTCCAAAGGATTAATCACTAATTCTTCAATGCATGTATTGGAAGAAATGATAAAATGGACAAAGATAGGGAAGATTTTCACATCTATTGTTGACACCCAAAATTCACTCTCCCGAGGATGGTGTTTTATCATGCAATAAGGATATTTTCCACGTCATTCATGAAAATCATTCAAGTAATCAAGTGGTCAACTTCACTTGAAAATGTGCAAGATACATTAAGTATAGATAAATAAATAAAAATGAACATCGAAATTTATAGGCAAAATACACTTTCATAGCCATAATTATTCGCATTGTGACAAATATAGCCACTTTTTGAAAAATACACAAATATAGCCATTTTTTAAAACTTGCTTGACAATTTTAGCCATTTCCGTTACAAACTTTAACATCGTCACTAACACCGTCAATAACCTCTACGTGTCGCTGAGGTGGATGCCACCTAAACGACACGTCATCGCCAACTGGACGTCTTTATGCCACGTCATAATAAAAGTAATTTTAACTAAAAATAATAATTAATTTTACTAAAAAACCAAAATAAAAGATTTTTCAATGAGGATTTGATGGTGAAAATGGTGGCGGTGGTGGCCACGATTAGGGTTATTCAGTTTATGGATTTGAAATTTTTCAAGGTAATTTCAATGGAGATTAGGGTTCTTCAATTTCTCGATCTAGGATTTTCACCAACAAGATGTGAGAGGAAAGGGGAGGCCAGATCGAGCAAGACGAGGAGAGAAAAGGAGGAACGACCGTCAGTCCCCTGTTGGCCACCGTCGCCGCTTTGTAATTCTCGCAGAAGTTGTCCACTTCGACTTTCGCGATGGGATAAATCGATCCAGTGGAGAAGTCGGAAGGGACTGGATAAATCGCGGAGCTTTGTGACAGTGTCGGCGTTGGAGGAGATGGTTGGAGTTGGCAACCTTGACTACTCGACTGCTGGTGACTCTGTGGCCTCCTCCCTAGCTCTAAGGAAAACTTCCCTGACAGAGAGATCTGGATGGTCGACGTCCACGGATCGACGACCTTCTTCAGCTCCGGACCACCACCGCCACCGCTCTTCATTCTCAGTCAACAATTTCTCAATCTCGTCCCTTTTCTCCTCCACAACGGAGCTCCGCAATCTCGTAGGTATTCAATTTGCTCTGCATAGCAAGCAATTGCGCATCGTACCTACTGTAGGGTTTGAACGGCTGAGACGCTCCCCGCTCCCCACCGCCGTTATTGGAGGAATCGGAATCATAATCAGGGGAAAATACGTTTGAGATATCTCTACCGTGGGAGATGATCTGGGCCATGGATTTCCACACGGTGGCACCGATGTCGTCGATCGCCTAGCCGACGGTCTCGACCTTGTACATGTTCGCTGAGCTAAGGGGAATGAGCTTGTGGGTACCGCCTTCGATTTGGAGTGATGGTGGAGGGGTTTTAGTGAGAAGTGAGACAGAATACTCTGGGTAAAACTCAATCGACAACAGCCGACGGGATGTATGGACTACGGGGAAGAGAATCGGGATGGGTCTCCTAGGTTGGGTAGATGGAAAGAAGGGGAAAAGAAGATGATGAAGTTCGGTTTTCCGTTTTTATTTATTTTTACTTTTTAGTGTACTTATAATAAAATAAGAAAGGAAACTTTCCACCTAGGATTAGTTTAAACAAAAAAATCGCATCACTAGAAAAAGTTAGTACAGTCGGCATTTAAGATATTGTCGTTAAAGTTTTGGACGGAATGGCTATACGAGTGTATTTTTCAAAAAGTGACTATATTTGTCACAACGTGAATAGTTATGGCTATGAAAGTGTATTTTACCAAATTTATATTGCATTCAATCAATATCAAATAACAATAGTAAGGTAAAGTCACGATCTCATCCACAAAAATTAAATAAGTATATTCATGTGCGATGTGGCAAACAAAGAAGCTGAAAAAGAAACAATCTCAGTGACGATAAACATCATGATACCTCTCAATCGGGCCGGAATTGAATTGTTGGAAATACTCTTTTCTGTGCTACCAATTGAAGTTTCATACAATAAGGAAAGTTCACTAAAGATCCCCTTAAGTTGGGGGAAACCCTCGTTTTATAGGCAATCAAATGATGGGAGCACCACCTTTTAACATAAGTTGTGCTAGGGCCAATGCCCTGCGTACTCTGAGAACAAGGAAATACTAAATACGAATTCAAACTTGTGAAATCAAGCATCCAAGTGAAACCTTAGTATGACATTTTCATTGGTTCAACTCCAAGTAAGATAAACAATTGAAAAATAAAACGGAGGGAAATTAATCAAGTCCTCACAACTCTATTCTTGCACATGGGCACTATACTTTGTTATTGAGGAACTTGTTTCCATAAATCCATTCTTTTCTTTATAGGCTACTCCTTCAATTCCAATATTCACCCACCACCCCTGGAAAAGGAACAGAAAAAGGATATGCAATTAGCCAAATCTAATTGGTGGGTAGATATGAATATTACTTTAAATGGAATATTTCCAAAATAACTGTTTTTAATTCTTAAAATAACGTTACTTCACAACTATTTCCTAACATAGCGGTATTTTTGCTAACTTGGCAGTGAAGACAAATGTCGAAATACAGACTAGCAACATATGTATGTTGCTTTATGGAAAGCAATATTCTGTTGATGTGACATTGACGAGCCACATTTAGGAGGAGATGTTGAAAACACTTTTCCCCTTTTTTATTTTTGAGGTTCAAAATATTATTCATTCAAGAAAACTTGTAATGATCTACCCTTAATAATTATTTTTGCATCTAATGACACGATAACATTAATTTTGATGTATATTAGAAATTTTTGTAGGTGCGTTGATATGTGGACTAACACACCCTGTGACATATTCGTAAAACCTATTTGATATACTCATACAATATATTTGAAGGATTCAAGTTGCATATGTTTAACAAGTGTTGTGCATATTCTTACGATTGTTGTGAATATTATTAACAACTATCGAATATTCTCATGGAACACATTTTAAGAATATGATTAACAGTTATAGTGAATACACATGTTGTGTTGTGTGAATACCTATATTGTTGGTAAAAAAATTCATGAGTTACATGTCCTAAATATATCGAGATTAGTCTCATTAGATGCAAAAACTATCATTCTACCTCATGCAAATACTAAAAAAAATCTTAGCAACAAAAACAACAGTATGAGAGGTCATCAATCCCACGTGGAGGAAGAGTGCCCACTCTCTAGTGGTTGAGAGTGACTCACGCTTAGCCATTAATTCGATAAATAATTGACCACTCTCTTTCAGCTATTCTCGAATCATCATCGTCGGCTTACCCAAGGTTGTATGGCTCATCTAACTCACATGTACTATGAATGTAATAGAGCCGCATAATGGCTCTCAAAAAAGGTCTCTTCTATCCCTTTGGGTCGTATGAAATGGAGGATGCACCGACGAAATTAGAGAAGATTATTCGGGAAGAAAATTTTGGAGGCTATTTTTCGTGGATGGTCTAACAGGACAACAACTTAACCCCTCACTTTGGTTTGAATCCCTTTATGGGTAGGTTTATTATACTTACCTTATTGTAAATTGTTCGGCCTTTTGGCCTCCATTTTCTTTTTAAATACCTCTTAAGTACTAAGTGATTAAGAAAATGACCTTAAAAAACATATGTCGTTGGTTTGACTAGCAATTTTAATCATAACTCTTTTTAAACCCGAGAATACAAGTATGTCGCCTATTATACAAGCGACATTCCTCTACCACCACCGCCAAATTAGCAAAAATCTAGATATATTGAAAATTTTGACCTCCTCTAGTGCTAGATTGGAAATTAATTGCAGGGTTGTGCTATATTGCGATTTTTTTCAAAAATTCTAGTTACGAGGATGTTAATCTAGCTTATAATTTTTTTAGTAAAAGAAGTCTTTGAAATGTCGGGCCAAACACAGATTAATTAAAAACACAAATGCATGCGCCAATCAAAAATATCGCGCGCACGTACGTACCAGCACCCAGTGCGATGAGGCTTCCAAGCAAAGGAGGTCGACAGGTTCGATCTAGACTCAGCAGGTGCAGACGAGAAGCGCTTCCAATCTTGAAGGATAACCGTGAGTGCTTGAATCTTAGACTCTAGGCCGATGCAGCATATTGCATGCATGGTGCAACCCACTTTGAGATCCTTAATCGGTTGACAGATCCCGCCAAAGTGGTCCGCGTCAAGGAGCTTGATCTGCAACCCAATGTCATTGAGGAAAGGCTCGAATTTGATACTGTTGAGCACGTCTTGCTCTTTCACTCCTGGGAACCTATCCTTTGAGTCGTACCAAAACTTGTAGAACCGACGAGTTCTATCATTGGATCTCACGAAGATAAACCCGGTGTTGATGATGTGGCGGAGGTCAGAGTCGTCCCCGGAGTAGTAATCGCAAGCCGCTTGGAAATCGACTTGTTCATGCAAGTGTGGGAACGGATTTCGTAACCACACAATGTCTGCATCCTACAAAAGTAAGGTCACTTGAGTTATTCGAACAAATCTAAGCCATTAATAATAGATAAAAATACAAACACAACTGTTGGTCATTAAGTAATGTCATTTTACAACAGTTGATCAGTAAGTCACTTCATATTTGTGAACTTTGTACTTATAGTATCTTGGTCTCGTCGTCTAGAGCTATTGACACAAACCACAATATGTAATTTAATTTTTGTGTAGCCATTGTTGTATTACTCGTAGTGTTTTTAGATTTTGAGGATTAGACGTTCTTCGATCCACGACCTTGAATTGCACGAAAAAATAATTTTGTAATAATTATGAGTGAGTGCATTCAACGTTTGTGAATCGCGAAGCCGGGTTTAACCATAGGCGAGAGTAGAGGTGGCAATTGGATCGGATTCGTGAATTCGTGGATTGGATTGATGGATTCATGGATCAAATGGATTGGATCCAATGGATTGGTGGATTGATCCATGAATCCAAATGATATCCAAGGCTTGGACCAAAATGTAAAATTCGAAAAGTTTTAGTATTAAAATGTCATAATGAAAAAATTTAGGTACAAAAATGTAATTTTCAATGATATTTTTCGTATAAAAATATAAATTTTAGGTACCAAAATGTAAAATATAAAAAGTATTGGTATCAAATCGTAATTTTTCATTTGGATCCATGGATTGATCCATGAATCCACCCATCCAATTGGATTTGGATCAAATGGATTGAATTTAAATGGATTGAATTAGGTGGATAATTTAGGCGAGAGCATAAAATTTAGAATAAGAGCATGAAGGTGAGAGGTGTCCTTTCCCCCCTTTTTTTTATACCGTGAAAAGGAAGTCAATCCCTAGGTTTAAAACGGGAATGGATCAGGTGAGTAACTTTATGGTGAGTAACTATGAGTAACCCGCCCACATCAGCATGACATCAGCATCCTCTCTCTCCTGGAAAGCATTTAATTTTCCCCTCTTTAATCTTTGACGGACGATTTCTCATTCGTTTTAAGTCGAAATTTAATTTTTTTTGCACAGTTAGATCAGATTAATTGTGCTCTTCAAAATGATATCCACTTTGATATATTTTTCGAACAAAAAAAAATTGAGCCATTTTTTACCAGTCTATACCATATGGTATTGACTGGTATTGAAATAAGAGCATACCTATGGTTTGAAAAGCGTACCATGGTGGTATGAACAAACCAAGACTGTAGGATGATTGAATACATGATAGTAGAAGTATATTAATTGTCATTTACGACTTTTAACATTGTATACCATAAGATACCATACAATACCACCCCGTACCAGGGTGGTATTGTATGGTATTTGGTGGTATTTTTTGGTCTTGTAATTTGTTCACCCAAAAATTTGTAGATCCAATAGATCATGATGAACTCTTCCCTGCTATGCAAACGTTTTCAAAAACGAATGAAAAACGAAGAAGATACCATATGGTATGCAGTTGGTACCGAGAGGTCGGAATTTTTTTTTCCTAAAAAAATATTGAAAATTGATCTCATTTTGTAGAGCACGATGAACTCGTTCCATCTGTGCAAAAAAAATTAAAATCCGAGTTAAAACGAAAAAGATATGAGTCAATTAAGAAAGCTAGTGAAAATAAAAATGGTCTTTAATTCTCCATCCTTAGATCTGGATTTTCTAAATGAAGGGTCCAGATTTGGTTATTGATGAGTGCATAACCCATGGTTATGCACCCTATCTTGAGCCGTTTAAAACGGAGGTGTAGAACTCCGTTCTCCGCCAGACGACGCGCATGTACTCGTCGCTCTTGCTTGTAGCGGCGTTCCCCGTGAAATTGACGCCAGGAGTCGTCAGCGCATAGCAGTGCGGATGCACGGCTTGGCAGTACTGGTGCGCCTTGTGGTCCAGCGACACGATCACCAAATGCCGCAACAGCTCCTTCGTCCCGTCCCCGTTCCAGAAGCTCTCCAGGAACAGATCCAGAAGCGACCCTGGCTCTGCCCACGCCCTGTTTATGGTGGTCAGGATCACCATCTCAGACGGCGGCAGCCTTCCTTCGCCCACGGCCGTCGTCGTCATCTTTGCACGGTTCAGCACTTTAATTAGTTCTGGGTCCTCGCTTATTTCACGCTGCTGCTGCTGCTGCATCTTTGTGTCCTCCTAATAACACCGCGAAGCACCTCAAATTACCAGTAAAATCAGTTGTGGTATTGACTGTATTCCTCTTTAATCTCTGCATATATCAGTAACTCACCGGATTCGGAGGAGTAGCCGGGGAGAAGGAACCTGGAGGCGGCGGCGGCGGCGGCAAGAACCAAGGCGAAATTGAGGAAGAGTAGAGCGAAATAACAGAGAGCAGAAGGCAGCACAATCCGATTCCGAGCAAGCAGGCGGCGGCGGCCGAGATTTCCAAGCTACGAAGTCGGGAGATAAAATGGCCGAGGGAGTAACAACTCCTTGTGTGCTCACTGATGATGCCGTCCCGATTGTTATGATCAAGCTCACCGGCCATCTTTCTGCGGCCTATAATTCCTGTTCTTGGTCTTTTTTGGGCCTATTTGCTTTCTGTGACTTAACAGGAAGGAAATGCTGCCCCTTCTTTTTTTTTTTTTATGCATTGAAAATTGACCCAAGAACTGAGCTTGATTATACATTGAAAATTGCATCAAGATCAACAGGCGCTTTTGGCGGTACTGCAGCAGGAGACGTCTCCGGCAATGGCAGTCGGTTGTTGAGTGCTATCAAGAAAGACAGCTAACTATTACCAGTACCAACTTTTTTAAACACTCTCATTTTCTTAATTTAAAGAAGTAAGTGTGACTAAGTATTAACTGCTTAAATCCGCAAGAGTTTTTATCATATAATGACTGTGATCATGAAAGGGAAAGAAATATCATTACGTCTCAAATTTAGAAACCTGGGACATGACACCAGAACGACGACAACAACGACTTCACACAGTCGATGTTCAGCACGGTAATAAGCAAACACAAAAAGTAGAAAGTATGGAGTTAATTCAGTTTTCACCATGCAAAATGGAGAGCTTGAATCCAAGGGTAGTGGCTACTGTGATGACCGCTTCTCTTCTGCTCATCTTAGCCTACTCAATCAGCCCATACTCACTGCTTCTCCAACGACGCAGCAGCAGCAGCAGCAGCATCAATCCCACAATCCAACAACCAGTAGCAGCAGGAGAAGAAGAAGAAGAAGAAGTACTATCTTCAGAACAATATTCCTGCGTCAGCAGGCAACAGTTACAGATCATCAGGAGCTCGTATTCGTCGTCGAAGCCATCTCCTTTCCTCCTTTCCAGGCTCAAAGAGTACGAACAGCGTCACAAGCGCTGCGATCCCTTCTCCGCGTCCTTCAATCGAAGCTCCCGGGAACTTATCAGGGTACAGAATTCCCCTGATTCGCTTGTAAAAAAACCTGAAGAAGACGAAGCTGAAAATTATTGCAGATACATAGTGTGGACACCGGTGAATGGATTGGGGAACAGGATGCTCAGCATCTCTTCCTCATTTCTCTACGCTCTCCTCACCAACCGTGTCCTGCTGGTCGATTTCGGCCCCGACATGGTCGACCTCTTCTGCGAGCCGTTTCACAACTCCACCTGGTTCCTCCCCAGAGACTTCACTTTCAAGGGCCGAGCCAATACCCCTGAGTTCAGGGAAACTTACAGCCTCGGAAAACTGTTGAGAAGGGAGGAGGAGCAGAAGAAGGAGATGCCATATGTTGCGTCGCTCCTTCAGCTTTTTCTTTCCTACGATAACGACGATTACGACAAGCTTTTCTACAAAAGTGAGACTCAGCCACTCTTGAAGAAAGTCCCCTGGCTAGTTCTGAGATCGGACCAGTATTTCGCCCCTTACTTGTTCCTGATGCCCTGCTTCAGGGCAGAACTGGACAGAATGTTTCCTGACGACAAGGAGACTGTTTTCCACCACTTGGGGAGATACCTATTCAGCCCATCAAATCAAGTTTGGGGGCACATCATCGGATTCTACGACGCTTATCTGGCGAAAGCAGATCGAAGAATCGGTCTTCAGATAAGGGTTTTCAGCCTGGATAAAACCCCGGCTTCACTCATTCTGAGTCAGGTCATAAATTGCATCCAGGAAGAGTCTCGAATAATAATTCTTCCCAATGCTACGACTACAACTACCACTACTGCTTCTTCGTCTGGTCGAAACAGGACGACGACGACGACTGCTATTCTGGTAGCGTCATTGTTGGGCCAATTCTACACGGAGCTGAACAGAATGTACAAGGAGTGGAACGAAAAAGCGGGAGCCACGGTGGTTGGGGTTTATCGGACGAATCATGAAGAGATGCAAGTGCTTGGTAGCAGTTCACATAATATGAAGGCATTGGTGGATATATATCTGCTGAGCATGTGCGATGTGCTGGTCACTAGCCCGCGGTCAACTTTTGGGTACGTGGCTCATGGTCTGGCAGGGTTGACTCCATGGATTTTGCAGAGTCAGGACATTGAAGACGAGGAACAGAGGGTTAAGGAACCAGCTTGCCGACGTGGTGTTTCCAAGGAGCCATGTCTTCAGTTTCATGCTAATTATTATGACACCAGCCCAGATCATCGTGAAGCAGGAGGGCCTGTTCCCGTGATTATGGATTGTGAAGATTTCCAATATGGACTCAAGCTTGTAAATCGCCGGGTTTAGAGAAAGCAGAGTCCACCTAGGCTGCTGCTTCTTGTTGATTGTGTTATTTTCTTTCTTAATTTTTCTAGAATTAATGGTATACTAGCATAAGCCCGCTCGCTATCGCTTCACGTTGAGCGAAAATATGATATTTTAAAGATTGATAGTTAGAATTTTCCCCCAAAAGTAAAAAGCTTGTCATCTACAACTCCATATAGTCGACGCAACGATGAACTTTAATAAGGGAGAAAGATCATCGAGCAAATGATTTCTATATTTAATCTTCTCTCTAGTTTAGCTTTTTTTTTTTGCTTTGTTTTTTTAAGTTCATCTTGATTCTCCCTTTTTATTGATTTCCGGGATTAATAGCAAGTTTGAAAAAGTTCAACTCACTTTGGTCGAGTCGAATTAGGTTGAATATCCATTGTTCAATTTCATTCTAAAAAAAAAGGAGAAATTAACACAAACACTAAGTGTGGACAAAGCTCGCTCACGACCCAAAATTCAGCAACTTCATGTTAAACTCTCTTTGATCAGGTTGAAGTTGAACCGAGTTAGTAATAAATTCACAACCGACCCGACCCGTCAATTACAAAAGCAAATAAAACCCACTCCGTATGAAAACTTGTAAACTTCAGGTTCAATTTGTTTTGGTAAGGTTGAATTAGCTAGGTTGGATACCCATAGGTTTGGTTATCAACCAAAAGTAAAAGGATAAATAAAACACCACTAAAGCGGATAAACTCGCTCCCTACCAAAAACTCTACACACCAAGTTCACTTGCATTGACTGGTTCGAACTAAGTTTTTAAAAATCCACACTTGGCTCAACATGTCATGTCTAAAACCATATAAAACGTGCTCTCTATACAAAACTTGTCAGCACCGAGTCCGGGTTCAATTGTCATTCTCAACCAAAAGAAAAAGGAGGAATAAAAAAAAATATTAAAGCGGACAAAACTCGCTCTCCATAAAAAACTCTTCAACACCGTGTTCAACTCGCTTTGACAGGGTCGAATCGAGTTTTGAAGAAATTCACACTCGACGAAACCTACCAATTAATTATAAAAGCATATAAAACTCGCTCTGAATACAAAACTCGTCAATACCATGGGTTTGGGTTCAATTATCATTCTGAACAAAGGAAAAAATATAGAAATTTACAATTCCAAAATCGGGTTCAAAGTCACTTTGACTTGGACGAATTATGTTGGATACCCATGAGTTTGAGTTTAATCGTCATGTTTAACCAAAACGAAAAAGAGAGAAAAGAAAATACTAAAAAATATGCAACTTAGTCCCGATACCAAATTCGGCAACACAAAGCAAATTTGGTATGGATTTTCTGTGTAGCGGTTTTGAAACACAGCAGATGGGTACATTATTGGTCGTATGCAAGAATTGCGCATAATAGATATGGTATGGATCTTCGATAGTAGTCGTGGCAAAGGTGGAAGAGGACAACTTATGATTTCGTCGATTGTATTTCGAGATGGGTAATTGTTGCAATAGGAAAACCAATGAACAATAAATGAAAACTTAGTAGACAATTAATACACAAAAACCTAACATTAGAGAACTAATTGACAATAGATGTAGACCCAAGAAACAATAAATTAACACATAGGATATAGAGTAAGAGAGTGGGGTAAAAGAATGAGTTGGAACTTACCCACTTACACTTGGAGGAGTGTGAGAGCCACTAATGAATAGTAACTCAAATCTAGGCTTTTATATATTTGCGCATAATAGATATGGTATGGATCTTCGGTAGTAGTCGTGGCAAAGGTGGAAGAGGACAACTTATGATTTCGTCGATTGTATTTCGAGATGAGTAACTGTTGCAATAGGAAAACCAATGAACAATAAATGAAAACTTAGTCGCCCATTCTGTCTCGCCCTAAGTGGAATGGCTCTCTTAGTTAGGCTGCGCCCCGACCCGAGTCCCCACGTCCGCTCTTTCTCCGCCCGCAACCCAAGAAGTTGGCTTTGCCAACACAACATTAGTTAGGGCCGTCCCCTTCATTTTATGCTGACCCCGGCCCGGGGCTGGCTTTTTGGGAAGTCCGTTCCCACCGCGCGTTGATGTCCAGATCAAGGCACCGCTAAACTCCCCTCACCTCGGACTAAGGTCAGCTGACTGAGGAGTTAGTATTGATTCATGCAAAGATGCTCCTCTGAAGCTTCCGTAAGGAATTGTCCACCTCACCGCCCCGAAGAGCACTGGCTCTGTTCGTTCCGTTTGAAGAAAGGAAGGGTCGCAAAGAATCGATCTTTCTTTTCGTTTTCTTCCTGAAGAGGATATATCTAGTGATGAATTAGGGAAGTTTAAGTTAGAATACAATGTTCAAAAAGGCATCTTCTTAGCACCGAAAAGTTATTATACCGACCGAAGAGACTTGACTTATCCGAAGCGAACGATAGCGGCTTAAAGCTAAGACTATCACGAGCAGCGTCGCTGCTTGATCGACGGGGAGGAGCATAACTCTTATTTTTGATGCGCTGAGTTATTTAAGCAATTTATTCAATTGTTATTAAAAAAATTTTTATTGTCTTTCTTTTAGATGAACACATAGGATATAGAGTAAGAGAGTGGGGTAACAGAATGAGTTGGAACTTCCCCACTTACACTTGGAGGAGTGCGAGAGCCACTAATGAATAGTAACTCAAATCTAGGCTTTTATATATTAATTTTTTTTCTTTCTTATTTTTTTTAGAATTAATGGTATATTTGGTTCTTGAACTATGAAGGTTTAATTTTCTTATGTGGTTCATATCCTATATTTTTTCCCCTTTAACATAGTCGTTCAAATATAAACATTTAGTTGTTGCGGTCATGTTGTTAAAAGACTCTTAGTCTTCTATCGAACGAGGACCTAATTACTCACTAGGCACGCCTAATTAGGCGCTAACTCGGTAAAAACTATGTAATTGCAAAATTACTATTACTATTTTAATCATTTTTTCAGTTTCGACAAAAAAATTAGTCGATTTGCTGTTTTTTATTGGAAATCGTAGGGTGCAACTCATACAAAAAAAAAAAGAATATATGGGAAGAGGGTTAAAAATATGTAGGAGTATTTTTTAAATGATGAGAACTTTTTATGCGCATGAGCTGCCCGACTCAATGCCAAATAGGTCTCAATTTAACTGAGACTAACAAACTTTGAACAGTAAGGACCAGATTAGGAAAAAATCTAGAGCATAATTCCTTAGTGCTATAATGTGCTTTCGGATAAGGAGATCATTACTTAGCTCAACAGAAAAAAAAAAAATATATATATATATATATATATATATATATATATGGTGGCGTATTCGGTGCACCCACTTTTTCGGGCGGGTGCACTCATAATTGTCATTCTGACCATGCGATTCATGTCAAAACGGTATCAATTGTTGCTTATGATATTATGAACAAGAAGCACATGAATTTTGATAAAAATTCATTCAAATTTTACTTTAATTCTAAGGATTTAGGATTTAGGGTTAGGGATTAGGTTTATAAATTGGTATTTTGGGTTGGGATTCAAAATTGAAGGTTAAGGGGTTTGGGTAATAGATTAATTTATTATGATTCTATGCCATATCATCATATTAGATTGAGAGTACTAATTAAATTTCAAAATTTGATGTAATATGGACATTTTTAGAGTGGGTGCACTGAGCGCACCCAAAAAAGTGAGTGCGCCGAAGTAGCCACCATATATATATATATATATATATATATATATATGGTGTCTACTTCGGTGCACTCACAAAAATGAGTGCGTTCAATGCACCCAACTCAAAAACTAGTCTTAAGGTGTCGGATTTTGAATTTTAATTTGTAGAATTAGTGTAATATGTTGATATAACATATGATAACAACTAATTAGTGGATTACCCTAAGCCCTAGACCTCCAATTTTGAGTTCTATCACTAAACCCCAAATTGTAAACCCTAACCCTAACCTTAAATCTCTAACTCTAAATCCTTCAAATTAAAGTAAATCTTCAATAGTTTTTGTTCAAATTAATGTCTGCTATTGTTCATCGCATCATAAGTGATGAATGACATCATTTTGACATAAATCGCATGTTTAAAATGACGATTATGAAGTGGGTGCACTGAATGCACCCAAAAAAGTGAGTGCACCGAAGACGCCACCATATATATATATATATATATGGCAAAGGCTAGCGTACGCCCGGACGTACCCTAGCCTACCGTACGCCCATTGAGTTTTGCTATTTAGACAATGAATTAACCAGAGTTTGGGGCATGATATTATACCCTAACCCCTAATGGGTGAACTCCAATCCGCAATTCACTAACCCAAAGCATAATATTCATTTAATCTTGAAATGAAAATCAACGGTTTTGATTCGTCGAAATTATTGTTGATTTTCATTTCAAGATTAAACGAATCTCATGATTTGGGTTAGAAAACTAGGGACTGGGGTTTATCCATTAGTGGTTAGGGTATAGTATCATGCCCAAAACTCCGGTTAATTCATGATCTAAATAGCAAAACTCAAACGGGCGTACGGTAGCCTAACGTACGCCCGGGCGTACGCTAGCCTGAACCATATATATGGTGGCGTCTTCGGTGCACTCACTTTTTTGGGTGCATTCAGTGTACTCACTTCATAACCGTCATTTTAAACGTGCAATTTATGTCAAAATAATGTCAATCATCACTTATGATGTGATGAACAATAACGCACATGAATTTGCACAAAAATCATTAAAGATTTACTTTAATTTGAAGGATTTATAGTTTAGAGATTTAGGGTTAGGTTTAGGGTTTACAATTTGGGGTTTAGGTATAGAAATCAAAATTGAAGGTCTAGGGCTTAGGGTAATCGGCTAATTAGTTGTTGTCATATGTTATATCATCATATTACACTAATTCTACAAATTAAAATTCAAAATCCGACACCTTAAGACTAGTTTTTGAGTTGGGTGCATTGAACGCACTCATTTTTGTGAGTGCACCGAAGTAGTCACTATATATATATATATATATATATATATATA